CTGTAGCTGACGAAAAGACCCAAAATAGTCTTCGAAGCATCGGCCCATGCATGAGTGTTGGTTGGACATTGAACTATATTCTCATGCTCGAAACAGTAAGAGCCTATAATTCCTTTACATTTAAATCATCTGTAAATTAAGATGAGATAAGTTGCTTCTGTCGTGCGTTCAAATACAACATTGAGTCTAACGAGTATTGAAGTAAAAAATCAGAAGAGTTGGATACCCTACTATCAACGATAAGCACCTTCGCTCTATTCTATACGACCCAAAATAGTCTTTAAAGCATCGGCCCATGCATAAGTGTTGGTCGGATATAAATGTATGTTTTTAGTCTAACGGACATCGCACTACATATCCATGCTCAGAATAATAAATGTCTCTAATTACTTCACATTTACACCATTCATAAATTAAGATGAAGAATGTAGCTTCAATTGCCTTGAGTCTTTCGTGCATTGAAGTCAACTCTATTCTCACGAATCCTTTTTATAGATTGTTATTAGGTCTCCCTTAAGCGAATCTTTCGTGTATTGTCTGTCATTCATGGACGTTTAACATAGAAAGTCATAACAAATAGAGAAGGCGAAAGAGTAGAACCTTCAGTTGCCCGAGAATGTTCGATATAAATCGAAAGAAATGGTTGCCGATACCTAAAGCAATCAGTTAAGATAAAAGTACACCATTCCATTCCTTGGAAATATCTAGAGCCACTACTTTACTTTCGCCAAAATGGAAGAAAGCAGGGCTAGTACGTCTCCCGTAGACCAACACTGATGTCCTACTGGCGGTCGTTAAGTAAATTGTTGGTCTCTAAATACCTGACAAGATGAAAGTTATCCACACTTTCCGTAACATTGGAAAGTACAAAATACTATTGGGCGATAACTCCCTTTTAAGAATTGATGTTACTTACATTACGGCAAGTTATAGAATGCTAAAGAGATAAGCTAATGGACGAGCTCCTTCAAATTTCTTTTAACTGCTCGAGTTCGAAAGAATATGTTTGCTAAAATGTTGTCTTTATCAATCGGGCAGGAAAATGTTTGGTCTTCCCTATTAATTCGGAATTGAGGATTTAGTATTATCTTTTACTCTTTTGAAAAGTTACCAGAAAGTTTTAATGATCCGGGGAGCAGTATATAAAGCTCCTTCGAATTGCTTTTAACTGCTCGAGTTCGAAAGAATATGTTTGCTAAAATGTTGTCTTTATCAATCGGGCAGGAAAATGTTTGGTCTTCCCTATTAATTCGGAATTGAGGATTTAGTATTATCCTTTACTCTTTTGAAAAATTACCAGAAAGTTTTAATGTTCCGGGGTGAAGTATGTAGAGCTCCTTAAAATTTCTTTTAACTGCTCGAGTTCGAAAGAATATGTTTGCTAAAAGGTTGGCTTTATCAATCGGACAGGAGAATGTTTGGTCTTCCCTAAAAAGTCGGAATTGAGGATTTAGTATTATCCTTTACTCTTTTCAAAACCGACTAGAAGGTATTTCTCCTCCGGGGAGCTTGAAAAGCTTCATAATAATGGTTGCTCTTTAAGCCTAAAAGAACATTCAAAGAAGTTAACTGTCAAACGAAATGTCAATCTGCGCATTTATAACAATAATTATCAGTATACATTCTAGTAAATCAGCATGAATTGATTGACGGTTGAACAACGCTACCAAATTATCAAAATTTACTTTTAGAATCAGTCATCGGTGTTTTACTGATTTTTCCAAAAAGTAACATCAATCCGGTCGAGACTTGGTTTCAACTGGAGGACATGCAATATGGTGACAGCTACCATTGATTTGTTAAAGTCTAAATTTGGTTTGATAATTTGATTCCTAGTACTGAACTTGACTTGATAGATCTTTTCCTCTTTAATCAGTAAATTCTCTAAAATTTGATACAATTTCAATTCAATTTCTTTCTAGAGAATTTTAAATTGTAAATTTTTCTAAAATCCTTTAAATATTTAAAATCTAGATACTTAAGTGTATTCCTTCCTGCCTTGATATGAATTTTGCCAGAGCGACTTTTCTTCGAGTATTTACAACAACATTCTTTGAATAGCACACATGAAAATAAATCATGTGTTGCAGCTGCATTTAAACTGCAATTTGTTTGTTAAGAAGTGATGGTTTTCAACCCTCTCTTCCCCTGCCCTCTGAGCGCTTACACCACTTATAAAATATCTAATATATGTAAGAAAAAAAAAGAAAAACTAAACTTGAAATCAGTTCAAGTTTAAAGCAGTTAACACAAAAAGGCGGAGGGGAAAAATATAGTAAAAAAATGTCTTTAATATACAGGCACGTTTTGTCAGAGATTAAAAATTATGAACAAGAAAATCTGGTCAAAATAGTAAAAGTTTTTGTAGTCATATTTCGTTTTTTTTTCTTCAGTGATTACCATGATTATTTAAGTGAAACTTTTATTTTGTTTTTTATTTTCTAGCGTTATGATTTGCATTTGCGACAAGTTTGTATTGATTTGTGATATAAATCTAATAAAAAATTAAGACAACTTAATTGTGATAAGAGTTTTTTTGTAAAATAAACAAATTTAGTTTATGACTAACAAAGTAATTTTTTAAATTGAAGTCAATAAAGAGAAAATCTTTTTTTTGGTATGTAATTAAAATAAAATATTTATACAAACGGTTGGTTTTCTTTTAGGTTTTAAGTGAATTTTTGCATGTTAGTTAAGGAAAATTAACGTTTGAATGCTTTTGCTATTATAATTTCCATTGTTATGTAGAACTTAAAGAAAATTTTCTGCATTTTCTTCAACTAAATTCTCAAGTACTTAGTTATTATACCCTACACCACCATAGTGGAGAGGGTATTCTGCGTTTGAGCTAATGTTTGTAACGTGAAAAAATATTGGTCGGCTCAAAATCACTTTCGATTAAGCTATGTCCGTCCGTCTTGTTTATGAAATTTGGAACGCACATAATTGTTTAAATCGGTTCATCTAGCCTCCCTAAAACCGCACCCTCCGAATAGGGCTCGAGACTTGGTTTAATAATGTTAAATGTTCTAGTTTCTCTACAAAATCGGCACAACTTAGTTTTGTATACACAGCTACTGTTACATTATGGACTAGCTTTCTAGCTTACAAGTTAGTTAGTTAGTTAGTTAGTTAGTTAGTTAGTTAGTTAGTTGGTTAGTTAGTTAGTAGTTAGTTAGTTAGTTAGTTAGTTAGTAGTTAGTTAGTTAGTTAGTTAGTTAGTTAGTTAGTTAGTTAGTTAGTTAGTAGTTAGTTAGTTAGTTAGTTAGTTAGTTAGTTAGTAGTTAGTTAGTTAGTTAGTTAGTTAGTTAGTTAGTTAGTTAGTTAGTTAGTTAGTAGTTAGTTAGTTAGTTAGTTAGTTAGTTAGTTAGTAGTTAGTTAGTTAGTTAGTTAGTTAGTTAGTTAGTTAGTTAGTAGTTAGTTAGTTAGTTAGTTAGTTAGTTAGTTAGTTAGTTAGTTAGTTAGTTAGTTAGTTAGTAGTTAGTTAGTTAGTTAGTTAGTTTAGTTAGTTAGTTAGTTAGTTAGTTAGTTAGTTAGTAGTTAGTTAGTTAGTTAGTTAGTTAGTTAGTTAGTTAGTAGTTAGTTAGTTAGTTAGTTAGTTAGTTAGTTAGTTAGTTAGTTAGTTAGTTAGTTAGTTAGTTAGTTAGTTAGTTAGTTAGTTAGTTAGTTAGTTAGTTAGTTAGTTAGTTAGTTAGTTAGTTAGTTAGTTAGTTAGTTAGTTAGTTAGTTAGTTAGTTAGTTAGTAGTTAGTTAGTTAGTTAGTTAGTTAGTTAGTTAGTAGTTAGTTAGTTAGTTAGTTAGTTAGTTAGTTAGTTAGTTAGTTAGTTAGTTAGTTAGTTAGTAGTTAGTTAGTTAGTTAGTTAGTTAGTTAGTTAGTTAGTTAGTTAGTTAGTTAGTTAGTTAGTTAGTTAGTTAGTTAGTTAGTTAGTTAGTTAGTTAGTTAGTTAGTTAGTTAGTTAGTTAGTTAGTTAGTTAGTTAGTTAGTTAGTTAGTTAGTTAGTTAGTTAGTTAGTTAGTTAGTTAGTTAGTTAGTTAGTTAGTTAGTTAGTTAGTTAGTTAGTTAGTTAGTTAGTTAGTTAGTTAGTTAGTTAGTTAGTTAGTAGTTAGTTAGTTAGTTAGTTAGTTAGTTAGTAGTTAGTTAGTTAGTAGTTAGTTAGTTAGTTAGTTAGTTAGTTAGTTAGTTAGTTAGTTAGTTAGTTAGTTAGTTAGTTAGTTAGTTAGTTAGTTAGTTAGTTAGTTAGTTAGTTAGTTAGTAGTTAGTTAGTTAGTTAGTTAGTTAGTTAGTTAGTTAGTTAGTTAGTTAGTTAGTTAGTTAGTTAGTTAGTAGTTAGTTAGTTAGTTAGTTAGTAGTTAGTTAGTTAGTTAGTTAGTTAGTTAGTTAGTTAGTTAGTTAGTTAGTTAGTTAGTTAGTACTAACCCACCGGAGGCCACAGCTTACATAAGGAAAAAGGCAATGAAATTATCAAACGCGGTCTTAATGAGTGAAGCTGTAAATTCGATTATGATTAATTAAATGGTTTAAGGTGGTCTATCACTTGCACAATATTTAAAAAGTTTTGGACCACTTACATACATATCTATGTACATATGTAATATGTACACATGTATGTATGTATGTATGTATGTATAACAATGTAGCACATCTCGTTCCTTTTTTTGCCTTTGCCAATTATTAAAATATTCTTTGAAATATTTGTTTTTTGTTTTTCTCTACTCATTTCTTTACATTTACTTTTAACCCAAGTTTTTGTTCTATTTTCGAGAAAGTTTTTCTGCAGACACAAAGTGATTGTTTTAAGCAAAATTATTATTTACAAAGCAATTCTCATAGATTTTAATTACAAATTCCATTTACTACACATACATAAAAACATACAAACAAACACATATTCATACACTTTATACACACATACATACAAACATACATTGCAACATTTATTCAAAAACTATTGTTTACAAATTATAATTAATTATATTTTTTGTTCTCTTTGCATTTACAGTTTAGTTTAGTTTTAGCTGGTAATGAATTATGGCCAATGGAAAGGCCAGATGGTATGCCAAACATAGTCTCATTAGAAGTGATGTGCGGTAAGGATCACATGGATGTACATTTAACATTTTCCCATCCATTTGAGGGTATTGTTAGTTCAAAGGGTATGTTGGTTGTTATAAAAGCAACTGTTTTAATTTAAATTTATTTTAAATGTTTATATGTTTCTTTGTTTTAGGTCAACACAGTGATCCACGTTGCGTTTATGTACCCCCATCGACGGGTAAAACGTTCTTCTCATTCAGAATATCATATTCAAGATGTGGCACAAAACCAGATTTGAATGGACAGTTTTATGAAAATACGGTAAGTTTAAAATAAGTTGATTTTAAATGTAGGAATCTATATAGAATATGCAACAATAAAGCAATCGGGAACACTAGTAGGCCATTTGGTACATTATAGTCCATTTAAAATAATTCAATTCTAATTTGGGTATCATCGAGAAAACCAGCATAGTATACCCTTAAAAAACAAACTTAAGCTTTTTGTCTGTCTCTTCGTAATCTATGAGGTGATGATTGATTTTTTCGTTGGACAAACACATGTTAAATTAGCTAGTCACCTGGCCCGTCAATGGCTAGGGTAAATATGTAGTTGGGGACTGTCCTACCGAACTGCTGGGAGCCGGCACAAATAAAATTAAAATTGCATTGTTCATAATATCTGCATTCTTGTAGAATATGCCTAACACAGAGAAGTCGTTCTACCGATTCGTATTTTTCGCCTGGATAACGTTCTGAAATGTGTTCATTGTTTTTGACAAACGTACTGGACACTGTGTGATTAGACACATGTCGAATCAATAACAAGACGAGAAAGAAGGATTTAAAGGATTCCTATTAGGGTCAAGTTCCTACATAATAATGTTCGAAACATATTCATCCAATGGAATTGTCCTAGGCGCTGAAACCCATATCAGGAAAGTGTAGATTAATTGGTGCTTTCTCGGACTAATTTTGCGACCATATCGCTGTAAAACTATTAACCTAGAAAAGGTACAGACCAAAGAGAAAATTCCAACTAAGAATCCATAGCCCCGAAAGATTCGGAATGTAGTTTAATATGTCTATTATTTCAATTGTCTTCCTTTTTAGCCGATTTAGCAGAAAAGCACTTAAAAGTTGTTTCAAGGGCAGTTTCATGTTATTTTTGTGCACGTAGTGCCTTACTTTTTTGAAATGAAATTTTTTGCTAAAATGTTCTGAATTCTGAAATCAAGCACTAATCGCGCTTAAATCAAATATATTTTGGGATTAATTAAATATTAAATATTAAAATGGAAATGAAACTACTAGTGTACAATTTTGGAACACAATTTATTCTAAATATTAATTAAAAGCATTACTTTTAATAAATGATGCCCCGCCCACTATTCAGATCCCGTCCATTTTTATTTTTTATGAATTAATAATTATTTATTGAATTCTTGCATTGACTTGATACTGTCACTTCAATATTTTTCTATATAGTCGATAATGAAAGGTGCAACACCCACTTCATGACCTCGCCCACTACAAAAAGTTCAATTGTTAGTTTTTGTCACTTGCAGAAATCTGTTATGGTCTCTATAGCTTTTCGCCAGAAAAAGAAACGAGGCTCAGAATATATCTTATGATCTCCATGTTCACACAGTATTTAATGCTATCTTAAAGACTACCATATCATTCCGATGACTTAGGCGCAGGAATAAAAGGTACTACTTATTGCCTCACATATTGGACTCTCAAAGAGCTTAAAGGCCTTATATTAGGACAAAACAATACGATAAAAACATGTAGGAAAGTATAGTCGGGCATAACCGACCATACACCACTGAGTATGTTAAAAATGTGGATTATTTTTAATAAAAAAGCATTTAATTCCGAAATATTTTAACAATTTGTTGAAAAAAGTGATTTTCTAAAAAAGGGGTTATATTGGGGCAAGGGTAAATATGGGCCTATCCTTATAAATTTTGGTACATGGCTTTACGTTTACATTAGAGTTATGTATGCAGGATTTCATCGTGATACTAGTGTTTATTAGTGAATTATTGACCTTCAAGTCATTTTCTGAAGGGGACTTTGTATGGGGGGCTAGGGTCAAATAAAGTCCGATAATTACGAAAATAGGTAGTATTATTAAGACGTATATAGAACTAAGTTTTGCCGATTTTTGTAGAGATACTGCAATATTTAACATAATTATGAACTCAAAAGCCCTTTGCGGGGGGTAGGGTTGTATGGGGGCTAGGTGAAATAATGGACCGATTTCAACCATTTTCAATAGGCTTCTTCGTATGGTCCAAATTTTATCAAAATATCTTGAAAATTGCGACCTGTACCTTGCACACAAGGTTTACATGGACAGCCAGCCAGACGGACGGATATGGCTTAATCGACTCAGAAAGTGATTCTGAGTGCTGATGTTTGTGCGTTACAAACATCAGCACAAACGTATAGTACCCTCCCCACTATAGTGGTGTAGGGTATAATTAAAAAGAAATATAAAGTTTTCTTTTAAATAATCCAGCGCCATCAAACAATATTTCTTAGGCACATGCGAATTATTTAATAATTTTGCATTTTTTGTTACAATCTCCATTGGAATCGTATCTCTATATATTGCTGTGTTTATGTCATAAAGAACAATAATTTTACAACAGCACTTTCTACAGCAATACAAAAAAATTTACAAATCACTGATTGTTTCAAAAACCAATAAATCTTTTCCACACAAATAAACAATTAAGCTGATTTTAATCGTTTAAACATACATGAACCTCCCAAAACAAAAGACCCTTAAAATCAATAAAAAAAATCGTTTAAATAAAACCGAAAATTGTTGAGATCAAAAAGGAATAAACCCTGCAACAAAAGCTTCATAAAAGAGCAAAAGATTGTTATGACAAGATATTTTTTAAACGGTTTTTATTCGTTCTTTTATTGCAACTTTTTGGGGGGTTTACTCAATGGATACAAATTTGTTTGCTATAGTTTCAAGCAAAAGACTGTATAATATCGAAAAACCCACAGGATAGTTGCACTTGTTGTTTCGGTGGTAAAATGTTGCTTGTTGTTACTTGTACTTTTACTATATGTATGCTGGTGCAGCTCTGAACCATTTCTGATGTGCTGCCGCTAAAAGTTGATTGCAACTTCATGTAATTTTTTTCATTGTTTACATGTGAAATATTTTACTGGTGTTTTTTTATTGTTTTCAACTCCGCGTTTTTTTGTATGATTGTTAAATACAAATATTTGTATGTTTGTTTGTATTCATTCATGGATTTTGTTCTTCTTCGTTATCCAGGTGGTCGTGCAATATGACAAAGATCTGTTGGAGGTCTGGGATGAAGCGAAACGTTTGCGTTGTGAGTGGTTTAATGATTATGAGAAAACAGCATCAAAGCCACCAATGGTAATTGCTGATCTAGATGTAATACAATTGGATTTCAGAGGTGAGTAAAGACTTGTAAATACCAGAAAAAGAAAATTAAATAAAACGTTATTTTTTACCAATGGGAATACATTGTAGTTCCTTGGAAGTACTGTTTAAATAGTTTAGTAAAAGAATCGTTTCTTCTTTCACAGGCGATAATGTTGATTGTTGGATGGAAATACAACATGGTAAAGGTCCATGGGCACCACCTGTTAGTGGAATTGTTCCTTTAGGTTCTACTCTTACTCTTGTGGTGGCGATTAATGATTATCGTGGTAAGTATTTATTTGCTATTTAAGTAAGTTTCAATTTAGGACAAATTAATACAAATTGAGTTTAAGATTGAGTATTAAGGGCCCTTCCCATAATGAGAAAGTAAAATTAAATTCCATCCGTATGACAAAAAATAGAATAAAAATCGTGTAAAATAGTAACAATATATTTAAAACAGCTGTTTTCCTTTTTTCCTATGTGTTTATATAAAAATACATCCCTGATCTTATGCGACTTGCTGGTGTTTTGAATCATTTCAAAAAATGAAGAGAGCCATACGAATGTCAAATTTTCCATCTGTATTTTCTCTCAATGTGTAATGGATCCATTCCGTTCTCTTCTACACAACATTTTGACAGATCATATTACTTTTGTACTCGTGTGAAGAGCGCTTTATTACTGACAGATTTTTTGCTATTACTCTGCGTGTTTAGGTTAGATCACAAGAATGTGCACACCAGCTTTAAATCTTTTTCTCATTCCTAATTTTGGCGTTCCTGAGGTTTTGTCAAACGTCCACAGAATATATTTTCGAGAAAATTACTACAATATTAATCTCTAGGAAAGACATAACCATCTTTTTTAGTGGTTAGCAATGTGGGTTTTATCGGTAAAGAAATATTTCATACAGTTGCAAACCGTTTGGTGTAAAGAAACCATGGGCAAGAGGATCCCACCCGATCGCCTGAGATAATAGAACATTATTAAGTAGGACAATTTGATAGTATTTAAAACACAAACGATACGTTCTCTAAAGGAGCAAGAAACAACTTCTCAATGGAAGCAAGTCTGAGGTTATTTTTAGGGCACATTTAAACCAATTTGGATGTTTGGAATTTGAAGAATGCTGAGCATGTTGTGTGAATATAATATCCCTTAGGAACAATAGTATTTTCTTCAATTTCTCTGTTTCATGTCAGAAATGTCTAGATGCGCGTGTTTCTGAAACGGGGATCTTATATCAAAGTTCTTTACTTGAATACCTGCCGTTTTGGCCTTATTTCACGATGGTACTTTTACAACCACAATGTCAGCTTTTTAGACTCATCTAGCACACTTCTTATTTATCGGAAACATTCGTTTGAAAAACATACGACACACTCACTTAGGCATACGGATGAGGGTATACACTTGACACCAACTCGTGTCCAACGCCTAGTCTCACACTCACTCTTCTGTGGAGTATCTGTTGTCTTGGCAGCAACACGAACGGACCTCTCCAATAACCGGGACAAGACAAAGTCCGAAACTACTTCCGAAACTATTTCGATCACAGGTCAAATCATTATAAGGAAAGATCGATGATATATTTGGGACCACCAGTTGATAGACTGGCAGACTCTTTTCCCCGGATTGCGCTAACACCATGATTAGAAAGATTATCAAGGTAACATGCCCCGGGGAAGAAGAAATAGGGCACAGGATACTGAGTTTTTTAATTATAGGATACAAATTTTCCTTTAAAGGTGATTCACTGTCTAAGATTTTCAAGTAGAGGAGCGCACAAAAGACCCGGTAGCAGCCAAGATGAAACTTATTATGTCTTCTTCAACATATATTTGCTACTTATGGCTCATATCTCCTCTTTTAGGAAGAGATATCACCTCAGATGGTTGGAACTATTTTGGTTCCTTCTATTTTTACATATAAATCTTCGGAATCAGATGATATAGTAAACTTCTCCTTGGCAGGCATGCAACAAATAACTATAGCAAGTTTTGACAGGACCTTTTGAATCAAAATACTAACAAGAACGTACTGAAAAGGAGCGCAGTTTCGTCTTGGTGACAAGATCTATAACAATCTAATAGTGTCTTAAATATACGAGACTAAAAAATTTTATTAAGTTTATTGAAACGGTTCTCACTGGAACCATAGGTTTTACAAGATCGTCCAAATTGGCGAGAGATCTTTTTCAAGGGTATCATAATGGGTAAAACGTTACCGATCTTCCTTGAATTAAAGCTTGTTGTTCAGACGGTCACTGAAAAGTAAGTGGTTGTGTAAGCACAAGTCATTACCGAATTTAAGCTTGGATTAATTGCAGCTTATTTGATATTAACAGCTTTTAGTCACTGATCTTTTCATTAAAAAGCTCAAAAAACTTTTACTATTAATACATTAGAATACTTTGCATTACACAAAGTTTTGCGGATCCAATCTATCACCCACTACGACAAAAAGTTTGTAAATCAAGGTCATTGTTTTAAGATCAAGTGCAGACTTTAGAATTAATTTACATTATAATCTAAAAAAGATTTAATCTGTTTAGAAAAACAAAATTTTTTTTATTAATTTACACAAAACATTAATAAATAATTTTGTTCTATTCTGCAGGTGAATTTGATATGCGTGTTAAATCCTGTGTAGCTTCTGATGGTTCCGGTCATGTCATCAATCTTTCGGATGAGTTTGGTTGTGTTCTACGACCTAAAATGATATCACGTTTCCTAAAAGCCCGAGCTCCCGACGAGAGAGCCACTGTCATAACGTATGCTTTCTTCCATGCCTTCAAATTTCCCGATGCTCTAAGTGTGCATATCAAGTGTAAGGTGGAGATTTGTAGACATGGATGCTTGGATCATTGCCAGCTAAATGATAATGCCAATGAACGTAAAGATGTCCTAATGAATGATAATATGATCAATCAGAATAATTTGTTAAGTGATATGAGCAATGGTGGTTTAGGTGGTGGTGGCGGAGGAGGAGGAGGATTAGCTGGTGGCAGTTTGAGTGGAGGTATGGGCCATAGTCCTAATGGAGTACATCATAATAGTATGGGTGGTCAGACCAACGACATGGGTATGGGCAATCCTGAGGCGGGACTTCATGATCATGACATTTTCTACGATGACATTATACATAATCGCAAACAATTGTCTCAAATCAATAGTGGCATTGCCAATATTCTGGATCAATTTAATAATGTTCATGAAAAGAATGCCAATTTACCACCACGACCAGTGCACGAAGATCCTGAAGAGGCGGATTTGGAGGATATTTTCGGTGAGGAAGAGCTAGCCGAATTGGATGAAGCTCAATATATGGAATTGCGCAAGAGTGGTAAATTCCCTCATGGTCCGCGACAGTTGGCACAAAAACGCATGGGTGTACCTATGGCAGGCCCCAGATCTTTAGAACCTAAAGACAAAGATGAACAGCCAAGACCAGTTTATAGACCTCAAGCTGAGGCTCTCAAACAGTCACGAGAAGATCATATTGATTTGGATCAGCATGAAGAGGAGGAAAAATCGAAAGAAGCCGCCAACAACACCCAAGAAGGAACACCTCGTCGCAGAAGACGTTCCATAGTAATATCAGATCGTAAAGTGCGCAGTGCTGATGTAGGTGTAAGTGGTCTTTATGATGTTATCTCCGAAGCAGATTTGGCCTTCTCACCCGATACAAAACAGGAGGCAGTCACAGTTTTCCAGGGCAAAATAAGTGAAGAAGTGGTGTATGGCATTTGTATGCCGGTACCTGGTTTCAGCATACTCTTTATTGTGGTCATTTCGGCCACTATAGTGTCGGCTTTAATAGCTGGTTCCCTGCTCTATCGCTATCAACTACAAAAGGAGGCCATGGAGAAACAAACACCCATGCCTCTGCAGGGTACTCTGGCCTCATGGATGACTCTCAGACTATTCCGCATGCGTGAACAACAACATCAGCAAAGTGCTCAAAATGCTGCTGCTGTGGCCGCCGTTCAAAATTCTCTAGCTGCCGCCGCTGCTGCTGCCAGTTTAACCCATGAATCCGTACAATAATTTAGGCTTTTCTCGGAATATATTTTTCTATTTAAAACAAAAGTCGTTGGTTTCATAGAAAATACTTAAGAAAATACAAATTTCGTTTGGATGTATACAAAAACTGACTGAAAATCTAAAATTGATTTATTTTATCTATAAATTTCGGGCATAATTGCAATAGTTAATGTTTTATTTATTATTTCTATTTCTTTTAATTTATTTTATTGAATTGATTTTTCTTTTGATTTTGTAATTTGCAAATTCAACTTTTAATTTTTGTCCAAATTTTTTATTATTTAAAAAATTTAATTTTTTTTCCACTAGATTTTAAGGCTTTAATTTATTATTCTTAAATTATTTTATGTTTATTTTTATTTAAATAAATATTTATTTATTGGTGCTTTCTGTGGTGCATTTAGTTAAATCTACACAAATCATACTTTGACTATGAAAAACTTCCATTTCAACTCAAAATGTTTAAAACTTGTTTAACACACTTAGAGAGAAGGTAATTTGTAAATCTTAACAATAGTAACCCTTAACAGAACTTTAAATTTTAAGAAAACATTTTTATAAAAATATTTTTTTCTAAACATTGCTTACTTACTTAAATTTTTAACTAAAATTTTTAAAATATTAAAAATTATACAAACTTTTCTCAAAGTGTATTAAACATTATTTTCGTTTTATTTATTTTTTTATTAATTTACTTAAAAATATTTCTTATTTTCCTTTCATTAGTTTTTTAAGTTTCTAAATAAATAATACAATTTGTATTTAGTTAATAATTTTGGGTCATTATTAAAATAATAATTGAATATTTATTTCTTATTCGAAATTAAAATTATTTTTAAATTAAGTCGTTATAAAAGTATTTTTGGAAATTTATTTAAAGCAAAGTCAAAAAAAAGAAATGCTAAATTTTTGTAAATTTTAAATATAAAAACAATAAATTTTGTATTCTTGAAAGCAAAAGCAATACAAACTTAAATAAAGAAATAAAAACTAATTTAATAAAAAAATATATATAATTTTGTCATTTATTGTCTTGAATTAGATCAACTGATATCCTGATATTTGCTAGTGGGTAAAATTAGGTATTCAGATTAAATATGTGTTACTTTAGTTCTGCCAAAAAATTGCATAGTAATGAATATATTTCTAAGTCATTATTTTAACACGGTGAAGACATTAGAGGCAAGTTTATACCACGCTCGCTTACAAATAACTACTTAAATAAGTACTTACAACTAGGGTGTTATGCTGCTATGAGAGTTATGAGAGTTAAATATGGACGACTTTAATGCTGGAAAGGATTCAATTATGATCTAATGTCAGCCATACAATCGCAGTATGACTTCCGGGTACCTAAAACAAACTTATGCAAAATTTTATCATGATTGCTGTATATACTATATATCGGGTCTACTTGTATTAAGTATAGGTGAAAGATTTTCATTAAATTAATACTTTTGATTTTGTTTGAGAGACAAAGAAATATCAACCATATATTTTTCTCACACACAAAATCAGAAGTCTCCCAAAAAAGTTTCCCTCTGTTAACCGGCACTTAAACGCGGTTCATAAACAGCAACTTTTTAATCTGTGGAAGAGAGAAGGAGAAATATAATTATTCTCTCCCATGCCAAATCATAAATGTATATAAAAATCAGTTTACGATTTTAAAGATTCTAACTATGTATAACAGTTTTTCAGATATACATTTTTCTACATTTTGGAAATGCCACGCAAATTATTTCAAAGGATTTTCGCCAATTTTTCCAAACGTTAATATAGAATGAAAAATTTTAATAATATAATAGTTTCCCAGATGTACGAAATTTTTTATTTAATTCATATGGGAGATGCCAAGGTCCCATTGAAAGTCCGCCCATTTTTCACTAAATGTTTACATAAATGTCAAAGTTTTCCATGTAAAATTTTCTAGCTCTAATAGTTTCTCAGATATATGAATTTTCTATTTAATTCATATGGGAGGTTCCAATATGCTAGTCCGGCAATTTATTAGCCAAATTTTCACATTGATGTCAAAGGATTTTTGCTCTAATAGTTTCCCAGATATATGATTTTTTTTTATAGCTCCTTGCAGACCTGCAGGATGACACTGTGAAAATTTCAGAAAAATCGGTCCAGCCGTTTAGCTGTCTATTAAGTCCAAACAAACAACAAACAAATATAGGGGAACATACACTGAAAATTTCAAGAAGATCGCTTAAGTAGTTTAGCCTCCCACAAGGTACAAACAAACAAATAAACAAACATACATTGATTTTTATACATGTATATAGAATATATATAGATAGATTCAAAAAGTAACTTTTGAAGAACGAAAAAGTACAAAAAGTATATATAGCCTTCTTACGAAGGTGAAGGCTATAATAACTGTACAATATCAGATCTATAGCTCTTAACTGGCAGGCGAACGGACATAGCTAGAAAGTCTTAGAATTTAATAAAGATCCAATAAATGTATATATACTTTTGAGGGTTTACGATTACTATTTCGATGCGTTACAAACGGAATGACAAATTCAATATACCCTGTAACCTATTTTGATAGTGTGTATAATAAGTAAAATGTGTGCAAAACTATTTTGTGTTTCTGTACATATTTTGTAGTTTTCTAATAGCCTTTCTAAAATACATACTTTGAGGCGCCTGATGATGGAGTTTATTCAATTAGTATTGCAAATAATATTAAACAGTTTGATCTGGCAATGCCTAAACGTACCAAGTATAAATTTTGCAGAAAAGTTAAATTCATGTAGCATATCTTTAGGAGGTATTGTAAATTTTTAACAGTTCAATGTTAAATATTCAAACAAGTATGTATGTATTAGGGATGCCATCCCGTTTCCGAAAATGCCGGTATTTTCAAAAATATAAAGTACATACATATATATATACAGATAGCGGAGACGATTAAGCCATGTCCGTCTGTATGTTGAAATCAGTTTTCAGAAGACCCCAGATATCTGATCCGAATCCGAATCTTCAATAATTCTATCAGACATACGGTTGAATAGAACGCAAGTTAAAATCGGTTCATAAATAAGGAAGATATGAGCAAAAATCTGAAAATTTCATCAAAAATTGAGATTTTTTGTTCATGCACAGACAAAAACAATAAACAAACAAAATCAAAACACATAACCATACGGTAAATTTTGTTATTGTATTACTTGTTTATAAAAAAAGCAAAGCAAGAAAAACAAATATGAAAGAAGCAGTGTGTTGTTATTGGCTAGAAACATGAAATTAAGTTTGTAGAGCCCGAATTAAATGAGAAACTATAAAAGGGGACTTTTTGGTACTTTATCGTTCTACAAAAGATACTTTTTGAGTTTTCTAAAATATTATACCTAGAAACATGAAATTAAGCATTTAGAATCCGCATTACTTTGATATGTTATTGGAAGCGTCTCTCAAAGACCTTTCGTATGATACCAAAATCATTCCTTTGAAAGAAATATGAACAAAATTATAAAAACCTCCATAAAGGACCTTTATATCCTTTGATCCAGCTCACCAAATATTGACGCCAGAAAAAAAATTTTGAGAAACGGTATCTTAAAATCAATTATACTTTGAGACGACTCATCAACGCCCCTTTGTGTATCTTACAAGCGGGTGGTAATTTTTATACATGGTTCTGCAGAACTTCCGAGATGTAAAAACTTCACTTCCGTTTACAACCACGAATGAGGACATATAAAAGAGTACTTTTTCGTTCTACAAAAGTTACTTTTAACATTTTGTATAATATTGAAGCAAGAAATATGATATTTTTGATTTTTTTTTACTTTTTCGTTCTAAGGTACTTTTTGAATTTTCATTAACATTTTCTATAATTTAGAACCCGGATTAAGTGAGAACCTATAAAAGGGGACTTCTTGGTACTTTTTCGTTCTTCAAAAGAAGAACATGTAAAAGAGGTCTTTTTAGTACTTTTTCCTTCTTCGAAGAGTATTTTTTGAATTTTTTATAATATTGAACCATATTAGTCTTTCTACAAATCTGAACGATATCGGTAAAGGCAAATTACCTAACGTCTCGAAAAAGGACCGAAAATGGTGTTTTTTCATACTTCCAGTGATGATATCTTGAATCCCAGATGTGATGGAGAAATTATGATACCAGATTACTTCGGTGTCTGGGTAAAAAATTCGTAGGCCTGTGTTATTGACCTTCATATCATTTTCTGGAGGGAACTTTATATGGGGGCTAGGGCTTAATGTTGTCCCATCATAACGACAACCGGCAATAACATTTAGACTTATAAAAAACTAGAACATTTAACGCTGAAAAGCCCTATTTGTGGGGTACCGTTTGTAGGGAATGGACAGATTTCAACCACAGGCTTCGTCCTTGGGCCAAGAGAAAAGTATGTGCCAGATTTCATTAAAAGCGTGCGCACAAGGTTTACATAGACACACAGACGATCATAGCTTAGTCGGCTTAGAAAGTGATTATGAGCCGATGGGTATGATTTTAGGTGGTTGTAGGACCAATATTTTTGGGTGTTACAAACATTAGCACAAACGCATAATACCCTCCCCACTATAGTGGTGTAGGATATACAAATACTAGATTTAGCCTTGAAAAGGCTAACCTGACAAAAGACGATAGGAACTTGTAAGTAGTAGTAAAGCTTTAAAATGTATAATTCGCTCTAGAGTATTTCACAGAACATTTGAAGTTCTTGTATCTGATAGTGAAGCAAAAAAGAGACGGCGAAGTATTGTTCGTGCAAAAAACAAGACTGCGGTTATTTATAGTCCAAATTTTCAGTGAAACTGGCCATGAAAATCTAAACAGGATGAGTTTCCATCGATAGGGGAGGTCGGACTAGAAACTTAAATATTCTTAAAACAGTGTGTTTCTTGGGACCATATGAAATAGACAGTAGCTCTTGGGTTTATCGCAGAAGTTGCCCAGTTATTATCGCTAAATAATGGCAGTACTTCTTACAGCCCATTCAAGTAAAGTTACAACGAGATTATGTAGATTCTCTAACCCCTAATATTCCTTATGGAGGACTGTATTGTTTCCAGTGTAAAATATTGAAGGGAAATCATTGAGATGAATACTTAGACTCCCAGGTTTTGAATTACTATTTAATTGGGAAAAACTCTTTAGCTTTCAAAACATAATTTTGGCTCTCGGATAGGCCAACGACATCGTAAACCAATATAAATAAGACCAAGTATGGTTCAGATTTCTTAATTCGGAGTGATGTCGAATGGATAAAAAAACTGTAAAGCAATTTTATACTTTTAATCTTGTATTATTTTTTAAATCAATGATATAACTTATTTAAAAAAAAAACAACAGTAAAACACACTTTTAATATTCAATTCTTTAAAATGGTTTCTTTATTTATTAAAATTGTTTTTTTGATTA